GTTGGATCTTCCCTTGTTGCTGCTCATGTCTGTTCTCTATTGTCCTTTCATTGTGAAGAGTGTATCTTGGTCTTCACTGACTGAAGATCTGACTTCTCTGACTGAAGACTAAATTGCTTGATCTTCCTGAACAACTGATAAAATCTGCCTGGACTTGTGTAAAGCAGTCAGCACTGTCCCATGTGACATCCTAGTCTCTAAATTGGAGAGACATGGATTTGATGGATGGACCAGTTGGTTGATAAGGAATTGGCTGGATGGTCACGCTCAAAGGGTTGCAGTCAGTGGGTCGATGTTCGAGTAGAGACCAGCGACGAGAGGTGTTCCGCTGGAGCTGGTGCTATTTAACATCTTTGTCCGCAGCACGGACACTGGAATTGAGTGCATCCTCAGCAAGTTTGCAGATGACACCAGGCTGTGTGATGTGGTCAAGATGTTGGAGGGAAGGGGGATGCCATCCAGTGGGCCCCTGCAAGTCTGATGAAGTTTGACAAAGGCCAAGTACACGGTCCTGCGCCTGGCTTGGGGAAATCACAGGCACAGACACAGGCTGGGCGATGAAGGGGTTGAGGGCAGCCCTGCGGAGAAGGACTTGGGGGTGTTGGTGGATGAAAGAGTCAATATGATCCAGTAATGTGTGCTTACAGACCAGAAGGCCAATCGCATCCTGGGCTGCGTGAGAGGAAACGTGACCAGCAGGTCAAGGGACGTGATTCTGCTCTGCTCTGGTGAGACCCCACCTGCAGCGCCGTGTCCAGCTCTGCGGATCCCAGCACAAGAAAGACATGGACCTGTTGGAGCAAGTCTAGAGGAGGGTCACAGAGATGATCAGAGGGCTGGAGCACCTCCTGTATGAGGACAGGCTGAGGGAGATGGGGCTGTTCAGCCTGGGGGAGAGAAGGGTCCAGTGAGACCTTACAGTGACCTTACAGTACTTAAAGGGCCCCTACAGGAAAGAAGGAGAGGTGCTCCTTATCAGGGAGTGTAGTGATAGAACATGGGGTAATGGTTTCAGACTGGAAGGGTTTAGATTTAAATTAGGTATTAGGAAGAAATTCTGTTCTGTGAGGATGGAGAGACACTGGAACAGATTGCCCAGTTGTGGAAGCCCCTCCCTGGAAGTGCTCGGGGCCAGGCTGGATGGGGCTTTGAGCAGCCTGACCTAATGGGAGGTATCCTTGCCTCTGGCAGTGGGGTTGGAACTCGATGATCTTTTAGGTCCCTTCCATGCCAAACCGTTCTATGATTCTCTGTTACTGCCTTTCAGGCAATGAAGTGCAACTATTAAATCCTTCACCACCCTGAACAAACACAGCCCCACCAGTCTCCATTCACCCTCCACTAAACCCCCTAACATCCTAGAGGTCTTCCCTGGTCTTTCTCCATTTTGGCAGGATCTCTCTTATACTGGTGGTCCCAAACTGGTCACAGCTCTGCAGATGCAGGTATGAATGCTGAGAAGAGGGGAGATCACGTGCCACCGAGGGCTGGTAACACACTTGTTACGTACAGCCCAGTACGTGGTCAGCCTGCATTACCACGAGAGTGCCCAGCTAGCTGGAGTTCAGCTTGCTGCCTTTCAAGGGTCTTCACCTCCTGATTTCATCACAGTGGCAGCAACTTAACAAATTGGTGACTGGAGGGTTTTCTGAATGTACGATTGGGTGCAAAGTGTTGATAAATACTGAAGAATGCTCAGGAAGTCCACAGCAGCAGTGTGTCACCAACACGGTAGTTCTGAGCATCAGAAAGCTCTTCTTTTGGTGGCACTGACTCGGTAACGGGGCTGCTTTCTGGTGCACCGCACCTCTGGACATCAGCTTGAAGAGCAGAAGTCCTTTGATTGGTACAGTCCAGAGGTGTCATTGTCCTTCTTACAAAAACATAGAACCATAGAATGTGTTTGACTGGAAGGCATCTCTAAGGGTCACCTAGTCCAACCCCCTGCAGTGAGCAGGAACATCATCAATTTGATCAGGTTGCTCAGAGCCCCATCAAGCCTAACACTGAATGCCTCCAGGGATGGAGCCTCCACCACCTCTCTGGGCAACCTGTTCCAATGTGTCACCTCCCCTGTAGTAAAGAACTTTTTCCTCATATCTAGTCTGAATCTACCCTGCCCTAGTTTAAAACCATTGCCCCTTGTCCTGTTGCTACACACCCTTGTGAACAGTCCCTCCCCAGCTTTCCTGTAGCCCTCCTCCGGTTCTGGAAGGCTGCTGTAAGGTCTCCCCAGAGCCTTGTCTTCTCTAGGCTGAACAATTCCAACTCTCTCAGCCTGTTCTTGTAGGAGAGAGGTGCCCCAACCCCCTGGTTATTTTTGTAGCCTCCTCTGGACCCAATCCAACAGGTTCATGTCCTTCTTGTGTTGGAGACCCCAGAACTGGATGCAGCACTCCAGGTGGAATCTCACAAGAGCAGAGCAGAGGGGCAGAATCACCTCCCTTGACCTGTTGACCACACTTCTCTTGATGCAGCCCAGGATGTGATTGACTTTCTGGGCTTATGGCTGTTGACGGGCTTATTAATGTATTTTTAACACTGATCCTTATCTTTTATGGTAAAAATGTAGGTCAAGGATTTATTCTTTTTTAAATGAGGCCAGATTAATTTCATTTATCTTGCTTTATGTAGCCAGTCCCTCCTACAAATCTCTAGGAACGTATCACCAGGTTGCTACAGCTGAACCTGTTAAACATCGTCCTGCATGAATGCTAAGAAGTAGTGTTACAGATACTTATCACAGCACCCAAAAAGCGAGGCTGCCTCTGGGCTGTCCCTGTGCGTCAATGACTCAAAAGCTTCTTCATTTTTGGTGCAGAGTCATTTAAGGAGAGTCAGGAAATCAGATGTCTGAGGCACTGCGGCCCCAGCTAGTGCTGGGCATGGAGTCAGAGCTATACAAAAAAGAAAAAAGAAGCAGCAGCAGCATTTTGAAAAGCTTTAGTTGCTCTTCCGCAAAAGGGTGGTATAAATATCCCAAACCTATGAGACCTTGAAGCTCTTGCTATATTCAAACTGATCTAAAATTCACCGTATCACAGTGGTATGCTTGCTTGTTGTGTTTTTCTGTGAACAGTTTTTGCAGGTTTTTTTATATCTTTTTAGTCCCATGCAGACATATCAAGCCATTAATACTTCATTTTCAGGGACAGCAGCTGTATTCTTTTGGAGTCTGCCTTTGTGCCTAGATTCAACTACGTTTCCATTGTTCTCCAGGAATCTGTGTAATATCCCCAGAGAGCAGAATCTTAATGTCCTCAGAAATCAACCCCACCAGCCCGCGTTCTCCTAGAAAAGCGGGTCCTTCTATTCCAGTGGATATATTCCCATGAGATACAGAGACAGCACGGGGGCTTCTCCATCTCAAGAGAATAGCAACATTCTCTGTGTTGTGTTTAGAGATCTCTGCTAATGATCTCTTCTGGCTCTCTAAAAGTTTCTTCATTTTAAGTATCTGGTAATCCCTAAAGTCTTTCAGATTTTTCAGATTTTTTTTAAACTGTAAAATGAAAACTGGCAATCTGGAATTAAGAGAAAAAGAAAAAAAAAGTTTGTTAGTGATAGTGACTTTAGAACTTAAAGGCCCATTCACAGGATCAGCAAATGTCAACACGGGAGATTCTTGCTTTCTTGGCTGCTGTGTGTGATTGCAATGAATCGCTTTGGCTACAGTCTACTTGGATGACACTGCAGTTCACAGCTTGAAAAAGCCAAGTGCCCATAAATAGGCTAAATTTACAGGTGATTTAACAACTCCAGGTTACGAATTGGAACAGAAAAGGGTGTATTTTCGGGAGATGAATATTTTGTAGTAAATGTTCTAACAAAGCGAAATCCCCTCCTAGAACTGTGCCAGGAAGTTCTGCCTGATTTTTGGAATGATTTTCTAGATCAGATGTTTTTTCCCTGGTCTTGGAGGTGGAAAACAGTTTGATATTTAAACCACCTGGAAAGATTTAGATTCCCGTGGCTGTTTGAGTAATTGGTGATCCAGAGCAAGAAGAGAAAAGTTTAACAAATTAGACTAGATGAATCCATGCTTGTACACAAGTATGGGCTCTCATGGTTATTTCAGCTCCTTGGGGTTTTCGATACACATTACACTCCTAAAGAGAAACTCAGTTTTGTCCTGGCCTAACGCAGGGTTAGAGATCCTGTCGGAGCACTGTGATGGCCTGAAGGGATCATTCATCGTCGTGTCTGCTCCAGATTCCTTCATCGATGTCAGTCTCAGTATTTTACCTCACGATTGCAGTATTCACTTGGATGGCTTCTGATTCAACAAAAATACCTTTTTAAAAACTGTTTTAGATTTAGAGTCATCAAGGAAGCTTACCCTGTTTGTTAATTTCAACTGATTGATTACAGTTAGAAATGGATTTTATTTCTGAATCAGGCTGTCTTATTTCAGTCCCCGACATGCAATCTGACAGGTAATTAGCCTTCAGATAGAAGTGTAGTTCTTTACATTTAGAAAGACCTCTCAGCTTCATTAACTTACACATATTTAACATGATCAACAGAGAGCACCTCAGTATATAAAAACATGTTTAACACCGCTGTAGGCTGATGCCTCTCCGTGCCCACATGCAGCCAATCTGTCCAGAATCCCTTCCTCCGCAGCGGGACGCTCTGCGCTGACTCCCGCTGCTGGGCACCGGTGCCGTGGGACCCAAACGCTCCCTGGAACCCAAACCGTCCCTGGTGGGCCGGTGCAGCCCCAGGGGCTGCTGAGGAGGGAGCGCAGTTCCACGCTCCTTGTCCTCCAGCTCCTTCGTTCCTCCCAGTCGCATGGGCAGAAGCGCCGGGGCGGTGAGGCGCTGCCCCCGGCAGAGGGACGGTCCCCAGGTAAGTGGCCTCTCCTCGGTCTCGTGTCCGGTGGCAGGCCTGGGGCTTTGAATGTTCTTGGTTCTGCGATGGTTGTGATGTTTTGCTGACGTCTTGTGATGAAAAACTTAATTTCTGAAATATCCATAAGTATGTCTGTTATGTTATAGGCTTTTGAGCTAGCAACTGGAGATTATTTGTTTGAACCACACTCTGGGGAAGACTATTCCAGGGATGAAGGTATGAATCTTTTGAGATGTTACACGAGTTTCTATATGTTTTCATACTCTTCTTCTTAAATTTCCAGTGAGCTTACGTGGAGTTGTTTTGTATTTGAGTGAACTGTTCATACATGTTGTTTTCAGAGTATAAATGTGATTTTTTTCTTTTTAGTTTTAAGTTCCATCACTAGCAAAGGGTGGGCAAAAACTCTCTTCTGCAGATATTCATCTACTTAACAACTGCCTGAAGGAATTAAACTGCCCTTCTTGTAAGATTGCATATGTGTGGAAACCTGATTGAGAATAACAACATTTTAGTTTAGAAAAGAAACGAAAAATTTGAACTCGATAGTCTATTCTTTTTGTAAGAGTGACACCAGAATAATGTTTACATTGTGTATTTTTATTTGAATTAGACAATTACTAATTTTTTTTTAAAATCAGAATTAACTCCTGCTTCCATCTGTATACCTGTCCATTTTCATGCTTGTTTGCTTGTAAATGCTCTTTGCAGTGGTAATGTGGGCATCATTCATTGTTCCTAAGTACTACTAATGATGCCAGAGCTCTGCTGATCCTGGAAACCTCTGCATGGATTTGCTGCAAACATTGTTGATTTGAAACTATTTCTGATTTTTTACTAATTCCAGTTTCTTTCCTCTTCTTTTTTATCCCATCCTTCCCCTGCCCCTTCCACTCCCGTATCCTTTTTTTCTCTCCCTCATAGACCACATAGCACACATCATAGAGCTGCTAGGCAATATCCCAAGGCACTTTGCTCTATCTGGAAAATATTCTCGGGAATTCTTCAATCGCAGAGGTAGTACCTCTTCTTTTTGAAAGGTGCCGTGATGCAGACAGAAGTGGAATTGCTGTTGCTGGTTGTAGGCTGTCCAACTGAGGAGCATTTCCTGAAATTACACAACAAAATTTTCTTTTTTAAAAAACCAAAATGCACAGGAATCTGTGACAATATTTTTTTCTTTTTGTTTTTTTTAGCTGAACGCTCTTAAAAGTGACTGTGGCACATTTTAAATTGCATAGCAAAGCTTATTTGTGGCAGCTGATACTCAAATGTTGTTTTAAGAAGAAAGTTTTGCTGAAAAGATCTTTCCAAATCAGCCACTAAGCAGTGTGCACTTGTCTTTTTTTTTACCAGGATCAATCTATTTCTGTCTGTACCGGGCCAGTGTTAGTGTGTGCATGCAATGTACTGATTAAACTGTTGTATGTTTCTGTTTTGCTGGCAATGTTCTCCAATGCAGACCACATAGCATTGATCATTGAACTGCTGGGAAAAATCCCTCGAAAATACGCTATGTTGGGGAAATATTCCAAGGAGTTTTTCACCAAAAAAGGTAACGGTATTTATGCAACACTAATTTAAAGCATAATACTATCCAAAAGGAGAATATGTTCATTTATGGGTACTGAAGAAATAATATCCTTTTAAATGGAGAGCTCTTATTAAAGAAGAATTTTGATGTAGACTTGGCTTTCTGAGGAGAGCAACAATTTGCAGTGCTCATTACAGTGTTTCGTTTGAAATTTGGTTTTGGGATGTACTCAACCAAGTGTGGATGTTCACAGCTGTCTGTGTGAATCTGTTGTCGGTGTTCATGTTGTCCGGTGAGGAATCAAGTGATGCAGAGCTTGTAACGTGATAGAGAATCACCTGGCAGCTACTTCTGATTGTGTGTGGTGGTCCAGCCGATGCTGCTGCTAAGGAGTAGCTGAGGTGGGAAGGCAGTACCTGAGTGGTGGATGCAGAGCTGCCTGCGGTCAGTCCTCACGCTCTTGTGAGCTCCCTGAGGAGAGAGCCTGGCAGAAGAGGTCGCTCTGTGACAGAGCGATGGAGAGAGCTGCTCTGCCACACCGTCTCGCCTCCAAGGTGCCCAGTTGCTGCCGTGCCCGAGTGCCGCAGCCACAGGTGATGACTTGGCGGTGTTTGGTGTTGTGCAGAGGTGCGACTCCTCTGAAATGAAAGCCCTTGACAGTTGCTACAAGGGAGTAATTGACGTGAGCATACGCACTGGGCCTTAGAATTCTTTTATCTTTTTGCATTTTGTCTTTGCTCAGGCTGCCCTTTGAGACAGATTTTTGACATGTGAGGGAACGTGGTGATGCTTCAAGTGTCTTTTGTCCTCTCAGTGTACGAGACATTGCTGCGTTGTATTGAGAGACATCGTATGCCCCCCCATTACGTGGTGGGGCAACATCTGGGGATGTCGACCGCAAGTGCGCTTCCCTCTTGCTTGTGACTCCACGAGCCCGAGCGCGCGGTTTGTCAGCAGGGCCAAAGCTGAGCAGCTGCGTCGGGCGCGTAGGGTGATGGCGGCGAGAGGTTGGGGTCACGAGGCAGGAGACAACACAGTGACTCACCCCCCCTGGCGTGAGCGCTGCCCGTTCTGTGCGGGGGTGTTCCTGGTGCAGCAGGGGCCTCTGCGTGCCTTCCTTGTCGTAAGGAGGATGTAATGGCGTTACACATGGTGGTGATCAAGGAGAGAATGGAGTCCGACATGCTGTGGGCGTGTGGAGGGGAGAAGGTTGCTGGAGAAATAATAAAGGCTTACAGAATCAGGGAGTCCGTGGGTCAGGGGAAGACAGAGCTGTTGTTTGCTAGCAGCCACCGCGTGAGAGCTGGGGGACACCCAGCGACCCTTGCAGGGGTAACTTCGAAACAAGGGCTTCCCCGGGCTGCAGGCAGGGAACTTCAGGAGCCTGCTGCTGTGGGGCTGGTAGAGAGAGGCTTAAAAACAATCTCACGTTAACTGAGGTGAACAGGGCCAACAGGTGTGTAAATGTGTAAAGCACTGAAAGGGCTGCGCAGGAGGGACCCCCTGGCACCCCCTGATGTGGGGTTGCAGCTGCTGGAGCCAGGGCAGGGCCTGCAGAAAGGCTCCTCTGCCCTCCCGACCTCTTCCTGTGTCCGCTGCCAGAGACAGGCACTGAATTAGAAACCTGACAGTGACACAGTAGCTGCAGTGTTTGTGGCACACAGAGGAATTGTGGAATTCCGGCGGAGAGCTTCACGTGCTTCTTTGAGCATCTTCCACTGCAAAGCGTTGCTGTTCTGCAGGGCCTGAGCTTCAGTGACATTCCTCAGAGGCATCATCTGCCATGGCTCTGGGTGGGATTTAAGCACTTTAAAAGACATGGTTCCTGCACCACACAAAATGTAAATGCCAGTTTGCTGTCAAACTTAAATAGACAGAATCCTGCCTGTTCTACTCAAAACTTAGCATCTCAAATGCAAGATGAAGGAGTAATAGCCCAAGCTGCATTTTCAGATCATACCACTTATTCTACTATTGCAAACCAGGAAAATCGAAATCCTTTCTGGAGGACAAGGAGAAACAGAGCTGCTGAGTTTCCTGCTCACTTATCTGAGATGTTTTATCCGTTGAATAAAGCACCAGATACCCTTTTCCTTTTTCCTGGCCGCTGTGGCACTGCCAGCCTCTCTGGTGCCCCCAGGAGGGGTTTGCATTCCATGGGCTGGCAGGGGGTGACAGGCTTCATGCCAGCGAGCTGGTGTTTCGTACTCATCTGCTTCTGGCCTGGGGGCTTGTGATCATGTAGTACAGACCTGAGGCTCTGCTGAAACGTTCATGTGTAAAAGAACTTAGAAATCTTAACTGTAGGCTCCTATTTGGGTCTAAATCGAGAAATCACAATTTAGGTGTTGCTTGGACTTGATGATCATAAAGGTCTTTTCCAACCTAAACAATTCTATGATTCTGTGATTTATAAATTACTTCTTAGTCACTGTCACACAAATGCTCAGGTACTTTTTATAGGTTCCTATCTTGATTGAGCCCAGCAATAGCTCTACTGCCCCTTCATGGGATCTCTTTTGTCTGTGAAAATGATTAATACGTTTTGACACTAAAACTTAAAACTCTTTGTTTTCCTAGATCATGGTCCCTTTTGTTTTTCTTCTGGTATTTGCTAGGCCTGTCTCTTTGTGAGCTAAAACCTGTGCAAGGTGCTGCTGAGGCGCTGGCTTTGCCCATTGGAAGTTTTCACAGCAGGCCACTGGTGGGTGGCACATCGTGACTTTCTGTTACCAGCAGATCTCTTCTCTTTCTCTTGCAAGCAATTGACCGTTTGCACTTTTGGGGTCTTTGCAATAGACCCTGGAGAGCTGCTTTTCCAAGCACTGAACCCTGCCTGGAACCTTCCACTGTGGCCTGAAGCAGCAGAAGCGCGTCCTGCTGGGCCCATCCGTGGTGGTTTTAGTCTGCTGCATTCAGGTGCTCAGGCTCTCAGAGGCAGTGTCAAGACATGAGTTTGTTTCTTCTCCTGCCCTCCAAGTTTTGTAACCCCAGGAACATACAGAAACTCCCACCTACAAGCTGACGTCTGATGGCATTTGGTGGTTAGTAGATTACAGCCAGGGACAAAAAACAAGTTCCCAAACGACTTTGCTTAAAAATAATACGGCCTGCGCACCCCTCTGCGGGGTGGGGCGCCTATGAAGCTGTGGGTGAGTCCTCTTCAGCCTCCTCAGCAGTTCAGGGACATCGCAGAGTAACTGCAGCGGCCCCTGGAGTGCTTTTTCGTAGCATCACGTGGAGACTGTCTGGAATCTGCCTGCAGACTGCCTGTGAAGCAGGGAGCAGCCAGAAGAGTCTTTCTTGCCCATCGTGCCTGATGACCTGTGGACAGACCTGGAAAATACTGCTCGTTTGAATGGCAGAAGGGTTCTTGCCTCCTTCGTTTTGGTCCGAGACGTATGGCTCTGTTGGCCACACGCCCTCTCTTTGATGGAACTCAAATCTTGCATTGGTGCCTCTGCTGGCTTTGGTGGTGGAAGGAGCCGTAGGCACAGCTGGTGCTTCCTTCCCTTCAGACCAAGGCAGAGCTTGGCCTGGGAGGTGGAGGGGAATCTCCCAGTGTCAAACTTGCGTGCGTGGTTTGGTTTGGAATGAATCGCTGCTCTGCTGCGCTGTCGGCGTGTGCCGGGCAGCAAGGTGGCGAATGGTGTCGCTGAGACTTCCACCTCGGGCTTGGAGCAGTTTCTGTAGCATTTTGGTTGTTGGCTGGTTAAGAAGGAAAGGCCTGAGGAGTCCTCTGCCTCCAGCGTGCGAGTGAGTTCCTTTGTGTGCGGGAGACAGAATGAAGACAGCGGGAAAAATCAGGAACAGCAGTGTCCAGTGTAACGTACAGTTCGCTGGAAAGAGTTCTTGGCTTTGACGTTGGACATACTCGTCTCCTTCAAGGACCTCAAGCAAGCTTGCAGTGCGCTGCCCTTCCTCAGTAACGATTCTCAGCCTGGTCAAGGTGCCGTGAATGGAGAGTGGGAGAAAAAAACGGAACAGGGACTAGGCGCTAACAGGGATAACGAGGTATTTTTCTAACTCCAGTGTAATATTTCTGTTTGCAGGAGAGCTCCGACACATTACCAAGCTGAAACCTTGGAGTCTTTTTGATGTGCTTGTGGAGAAGTACGGTTGGCCTCATGAAGATGCTGCACAGTTTACAGATTTCCTGATCCCTATGCTAGAAATGGTCCCAGAGAAACGTGCTTCAGCTGGAGAATGCCTTAGGCATCCATGGCTGAATTCTTAGCAGAATCTCCCAGATGTAACAAAAAAATATTAAAAAAGCCAGCAACCACTTTCCAATGCATCGGACCTAAACGGTGACTGTCACAAATTCTTTAGCAGGATCACATGTGAGCTGGCTTCAATCCTCAGACCTTTATTTTGCTTGAGGTACTGTTTGACATTTTGCTTTTTGTGCACTGTGTTCTTGGGGAAGGGTAGTCTTTTTGTCTTCAGCTAAGTAGTTTTACTCACCCACTTTCTTCAGAAAACACTTAATGTGTCTTTTAAGCATTGTTTCTTGTGTTGTGTGGCATTCAGATGTCAGATTTTTGAACAAAGGAAACTTCCCCCCATGTGTTTTGGCAAGTTTTGTAACTATTTATGAAAAAAAATAATATTTTAGCTGATGCATATTATATAATTTACGAGCGTAAGAAATTTATCATAAAGTCAGGCGAGGAATTGTACAATTTTATCTTCTGGCAAAGGGATGTCATTCTTGTATTATAGTGTATGTAAATGCACCCTGTAAATGTTTTTGCCATTTAAATATGGGACTGGGGACTCAATTTCAGAGTAAAGCAGCTAAGTTTTAGAGAGCTTTATAGCAAACCAATTGCATGTAGTGGACTTTAAACTGCTTTAAGGAATTGTGTAAACTTTCTATTCTGTAGCAGTTCCCGTTCATTGGATTTTAAACAAAGTGGCTCTGGTTTACAGGATTTCATTCCCCAAACGGCACTTTAAAGGAAGGCTAGACTTCTTTCTAATAAAGTATGCATTATCATTTAGCACTCCCTTTTAGAACTTTTGCCTATTTTAAGTGCTTTTAAGAGAAGAAAAATAGCAATTTCCCTTACAATGTGATAGTGAAGACATGGTACCATATGGTGTTGCCTTTTTATAAGCACTGTAAGTTGTACTATACCTTAAGAGAAAAAAAATTAAAAGTCGAGCATGAGAACCACTCTCTGTGTAGAATTACTGATCTTTTGTAACAACAGTGTGCGCTTGGCAGGAAGGATATAGCTGCAGGTATTTGCAGTGCAGTGGGTAAAATAATCCAAGAAGCAAGATCATGCTCATTCCATTCATAGCTTTATGTTTCTAAAAGAAATTGCACTAGCTTTATTTTTCCCCATTACTAGACATACGATTACCCCGTGTAAGTTGCACGCAACAGTTATGTGTTTCCTAGGAAAAAAAAAGCTGCATAGGCTGAAGCTCATAGGCAATACAGATTTTAGAATGTACAGTATGGAGGTGTGTTTTGGCCTCTTCTAGAAGTCAGTGGGATGAATGTAAGCTTACTTCTGATCTTCATGTAACTACGGTGCCACTTTTTTCTTGACTTTGTCCATATGAAATTTATTCACATGCCTTTGCAATAACTAGATTGTGAGAAGATAGCCCCATGCTGTAACAATAACCAGTTGTTTGAGGTGCTTGCAGTTGTCTAATTAAAGTGTTTTGTTTTTTCAGACCGTGTGCTGGTCATTGGAATCTTTGCTAGCCATGACTCAACTCTGTTTGCTAGAGGTCTGGGGCAGGGGCAGGGCGGGGGGGCTGTTTTAGCCTGACCAAAGCAGCTTTACACCTGGTGTAAAGCAGAGCATCCGACAGGCTAATGTAGAGCGAGGGGCTGTGTCAGTGCTTGCCAGGTGACAAATGACAAAACTGAACAAGAGCAGGTGTTTGCTAGAAACAAGCCCAGGATTACCCCATCCCCATAGATCAGGTGCAGCCACTCCAAAAAGAAACGGCAAAACTACCACCAAGCGTGACACGCACCGGTCCAGAGAAACTCGTTCCTGCACTAGAGGCCCTGCCGAGCAGTCGGGTTTCCAGACCATGTGCCCTCCTCTTCCTGATGCTCTGAACACTTCACGCTGGAACAGCCCTAAGGATGATGTTGCCACACCAGACTGCAGAGCTAGAGGTAAAAATTGTGTTTGGCTTCACACCAGACCCAGCCACGGGTAGTGCCTCGGTGCTGCAGCTAATTAGCAGCTTGTTCGTGACTGCAGAGAGAGCGCACCAGCACTTGAACGCGCTGGTTCAAACGCCAGGCGAGGTGCGGAACAACTCGCACACCTTGGCCTGTGTGTGCCCGCGGCAGCAGCAGCACCAGTTGGGGACCCGTGCTCAGTGCCTGTCCTGTTCTGCAGTCTGTGTCGGCTCCTTACACTGCCCCGAGACCTCCCCCCACCCTGTGCATATTTTATACCCTCTTATGTTTGAGCTGATGGAATGACCTGCCTCACACAGGCATGGAGGAGGGGTCCGGAGGACGGGGTTTGGAAGCTGGGCGATAAGAGGGCAATGCAGCTTTTGTAGAGTAGGCTGGGGTTGGAGTTTTCTCCTGTTGTTGATGGGCCAGTGCTCTTCTAGTTCATGTTTGCACAAAACCGCGTATTCTGTAACGTGTTTCTGGCACAGCCAGCAGGTGTTCAGTACAGTATTTCTGGTGTGGTAGCTTTACTAATAAATTTTTTTTTCAATAATTACAGGCAATTTAGAATTTAAAGTAGCTCAATTTTTTTCTGCATGTTAAAAAAGAAAGAATTACCATCATCTTTTGTCAGTGAGTAGAAAAGCCACTCTCATGCTATCCCCTCAGGTTTTCTTTGCAGAGTTTGTTTTTTTTTTCTTCTCTGGTCCTGGGGTGGAGCCATCGAGCCGTCCTGTCAGGTGAGCAGAGTTTAGAGCAGTCAGTGCTGAGATGTGAGGACACTGTCACACACTAATTACAGAGTAACTGTGCACCTGTTCAGTGCAGCAGCAGGAA